CATGTTTAGCTACATCTACTAGCATATTTAGCTACATCTACTAGCATGTTTAGCTACATCTACTAGCATATTTAGCTACATCTACTAACATATTTAGCTACATCTACTAGCATGTTTAGCTACATCTACTAGCATGTTTAGCTACATCTACTAGCATGTTTAGCTACATCTACTAGCATATTTAGCTACATCTACTAGCATGTTTAGCTACATCTACTAGCATACTACTAGCGGTTCTGTCTGGCTCTCGCTCGAAGTGGCTGCTCCTGCCTTCCCTCCCCTGTTCTCTTTCTTCCTGCTTCGCTCTCTGTAGCTGTGTCCCAATCCAACGGCTGCATCCTTCAAAGACCACATACACCGGAAGTCAGCAGCTGTGAATTGGGACAGGTCTAGCCTTCAGGGTTACGTCGGCGTATGTCCTGTCGCCTAGCAACCGTGACAGCGCTCAGCCGAAAAAGAATGGAGATCGAAAATTTGTTGTTGTTTTTACTTTAATTCTAGAGGAAATACAGGAACTTTATCGCCACTGGTGGCATATTTTGTATCTTCTGCTGAGAGACAATCATATTCAGGTAACTTACTTTTTTTTTAGTCTACAAACTTTCAAGGAATAACTGTTAACTTCAGCTAATTTCATGGATAATTTCAGTGACTGACAGACTAATGTGTTGACTTTATTAACTTGTACATAATAAATAAAATCTAAATTTATCTTATTAAATTATCAATAATTTAATAAAATTTTATATATTATAATCTTTAACTTATCTTAAATTTAGAATACAGCATAACATTTTTCCAATATTTTATTTCATATAATCCACTGGTAAATAAAGTGGCTGTAAAAATGTTAAAAACAGGGTCCTGGAGTGTCCTCAGTGATGGAGACGATTAGGATAGGAGGTGCAGTGGAAGGTCTCTGTCCTAAAACCTCGTCCATGAGGACAAACCAGGGCCAAGTCGCAGCAGCAGCTTCACACTAACTCCTTCTCCTGGATATTTGCAGTCCTGAACAGAGGACATGAGACATCACAGTTGGCAAAAAAGAGCAACAAACTTTTTTTTTTTTTACTTTACACGTATTAATAGCTGCACATACAAATTATAGTCTTCATTACACATGCACATACTTTGTATTTTTTTTTTTTTTAGGTTGTCCCATTTCTTTTTAGCATGCAGAGGAGCTACCTTCTCTTGCAGGCCCATCTTCTCCAAAATTATCCTACTAACATCAACATAAAATGAATGAAGAGGGGAAAAATGGAAAATAATGTCTTAGAAAAACTACAGTTTTCACAGCACAACACAAGAGGACCTGTACTTCATTAAGATTGCAGGTTATGTATGAGTGTAAATGAAACTGTACTCAGAAGCACAAGATGAATAAATTAATTCATTCTTGTACCTCCATGCCACAGCTACAGTGTTTTGCACTCGTGAAACAGTGGTTGTTCTCATTTTGAAGCTTAATAAAAGCTTCGGTCTGCTCCTTCTCCCTAAAAAAAAAAAATTAGCTTAGCGGCGATAGTACTACAGGACCCACTGTACGAGCTGATCTCTGACAAAAAATAAAACAAAAAAAATGTCTACGCAAATGACAAAAGCCTATCATCTGCTTTAAATCATAACCGCTTTAGGCTTTTATTTTTTTAGTTCCAGATTTTAACATACTTGCATTTAAAAGTGTACTTGCTCGCTGCTTCGTTCGCCATTACGTCCAGAATTTTCCGTATGCCCGCAATGCATCTTGAGATAGGGTGGACTGCAAAGGATACACGGGACCTGGCCTTCAAATCGGGGGAAAAGAAGGCCGCATTCTTGGGCCGCATTAAAGGAGTCTTCGAATTGGGACAGGCCTCGGCGCGTCACTGTGACGTAATCAGCCTTCAAAATTCGGCCTTCGAAGGATGCAGCTGTTGGATTGGGACACAGCTAAAGTATCTGAAGTGCCTGGTACACATCTCCTGAACAAAAATTAAGATTATGGATCTGGTGACCTGGAATTTCAACGCAATCAACAAAATATTTTCAACAAAACGACAGGGTCCTGGGGAACATGTTTGTCCAGCTGAGACTCACGCTGTGGGGTACGTCATTGATCCATGAGGAGTGTGGCAGTTGATGTGCCTCTCAGTCCTGTCTCAGGAGGACGCTGAAGACATTTATATGTTTGGATTTATGATAGCAGGGACTCAGCGTTTTGGCATTGGCGGGGCTCTGTTTTATCGACTTTTGAAGAAGACTTCAGCAGCAGTTTCGGCCATGACAACGCTTCAGAGTCAGCATGAAGGTTTGGTTCGTGCTATGAATACTCAGAATCAGCTGATTTACGAGCTAAATCGTAAGATGGAGGCGATTTCTGAGAATCGCAGGCCACCTGCGACTTCTGGGACTCGTCAGCGTGGTGGGATCGACCTTTAAGGAGGCTTATAACATGGATCAGTGGAATGGATTCCCATGATCAGACCATTTTGAACCAGAAAGTTCCAGAAGGACTCTAGGCTGACAAAAAAAAAAATCTGGGTAACTACGGACAAAAGCTTCATCTTTCTCACTCTGTCTCTCCCCCCCCAGAACTTCTGTGCAAGCTTATCAGAACTGCCAGCTAAAATAACATCATCAGAACTGTGGCCGATTTGAAAAACACTCATGGACAAATCTCAACACCTTGACATCAAATGCATATGTAATGTGTTTAAAAGTGCTTGTTGGTAGAGTTTTTGATGTCTCAAATCATGTCCTCCTGATAGGACAAGATGTTAAGAGATCTTTTTTTGTAATTTTTTTTTTTTTTTTCATTTAGCCTTTATTTATCCAGGTTAGTCTCATTGAGCCACGAGAACTCATTTTCAAGAGAGACCTGTTTAGGGAGCACATGGTGGGGGTTAAGGGCCTTGCTCATGGGCCCAGAGTGGGGCGAATGAGGGTGGGGGCAAGTGTGGGTGTTTCACCTACCCCACCCACAATTTTGATGTTGTCGGGGCTGGGGCGTGAACCGGCGATCTTCGGATCACAGGCCCACCTCTCTAACCTCTGCGCCACCACTCCCCCAAAATACTAATACTACTAATAGTAATACTACCATCTATTCTCATGGTTCTTCGCTTCTTCTATCTAAAAGTATTCCAATCAAGAAAAGGGGCCGCACTTCTCAGCAGAAGCAACGTGCACGCTGTTCGTCTTTCGGATGACTGTACGAACATAATTTCACTGTACTCCAGTACACTGATAATAAAGCTTATTCTGATTCTGATTCAGGGGCAGCACGGTGGCACAACTGGTAGAGCTGCTGCCTCTCAGCGAGCAGGTCCCTGGTTCAAACCCCAGTCCAGGGGCCTTTCTGGGTGGAGTTTGCATGTTCTCTCCGTGCATGCGTGGGTTTTCTCCGGGTGCTCCGGTTTCCTCCCAGACCAAAAACATGCATGTTAGGCTGATTGGTAACTCTAAATTGTGCCTAGGTGTGAGTGAGAGAGTGAATGGTTGTTTGTCTTTATTGTCTCTATGTGTCCCTGTGATGGACTTGCAACCCCTCCAGGGTGTCCCCGCCCCTCGCACAGTGATTGCTGCACATGGGCACCGGCGACCCCGTGACCCAAAATGGAATAAACGGGTAAAGAAAATGGATGGATGATTCTGATTCATATTTAGCTACATCTATTAGCATATTTAGCTACTTCAATGACTCACTTCTTCTGACGGTGAAGAGATGAACAACCTGAGAAGCTCTGAGGTGTATTAGTATCTACACAGTAAAAAGGTCGGTGGTGTTTTGTTAAAAAAAGGTGTGACACGATCTTATTTATCTTAAAGCAGAGACAGAGTCCAGCCAAAGCCTTAAAGTTCTCCATCACTGAGCTTGGGTTTATTACAGAGAAAATCAAAATACTGAAGATGAACAAATACTATAAAGCTGTGCCCTCTATACACTTGTAATCATACTTGATGTTCTCGTCACACTGTTTTCAATCCTTCTGAGGATCCAGCGTCTCTTCTCCGATGGTTTATTGTAGTCCAGACACAAAGTAGGATGCAGGTTTTCCTCCGTCGGTCATTTGTCAACAAACTGAAATGAGCTCACATGCAGCGTTTTGGGTGGTCTCTTCAAATTCACATTTTTCAGCCACATTCTTCTTAGTCAAGTCGTTTGGATGGTTTCTTTGTTTTTTGCTGAGATGTTTCGTCCTTCATCCATAGGACTCCTTCAATCAGAGGAACCACCAAACAAACTGAATCCCACAAGCAGCACACTTCCAGAATGGAAATAAAAAGTTTGCTGGTGATAAGATGGCCTCCCGGGCCTGCCCTCTTCTCTGTCAACTCCTCTGAGGCAGACATATCAAAGTGGTTCAAAATACTTATTGAAGAAGTCCTTTGGATGGAGGCTGAAACGTCTCAGCAACAAAAGAAACAGTCCAGATTACCTGACTGGACATTATTGTATTTTTACCTGGATTAATGAGCATGGACTTTGGTGTTTTGAACCACTTTGGCATGTCTGCCTCAGAGGAGTTGACGGGGGAGAGGGCTGGTCCTGGAGGCCATCTTATCACCAGCAAACTCTTTGTTTTCCACTATGGAAGTGGGCTGCTTGTGGGACTCGGTTTGCTGATGGCTCCTCAGATTGAAGAAGTCCTTTGGATGAAGGACGAAACGTCTCAGCAAAAAAGAAATCGTTCAGATGACCTGACTGAACATTGTTGAACTTTAATCTGGATTAATGAGCATGAACTTTGGTGTACATTCTTCTTAATTCCTCATCTGTAGGTAGGAGATGGAAACTAAACCTGTTTTCACAGGAACTCTTTTAGTTTTGGGTCCGTGTTCAAAATTCTGTTGTTGTAGCCACTGATTTAGTTTGATCTGGTTGTTCCTTCAGCCGTGAACACAACAGGTACCTGAACTCAACACGGTTATTTTAGTCAACTTTATGGATGTTAAATAAAGAAAACAAAAACAGAGTTTTATCTACTATACGATCACAGGCCCACCTTCTCTAACCTCTGTGCCCCCACTCCCCTTTCACAAAATAGTACAAATGAAGTGCCTAATTTTACAATTATAATTTATATTTAAATTGTAAATGTAATAATTAAATTACATATGATGCACTTTATTGTGTTTTGTTATGCTCGTGAACTTCCCTCACACGCACTTCTGCCGTTGGTCTGTGGAAAAAATAGTCTTTCATAAAATGGTCCGTCATGCAAAAAGGACTGGAAACCCCTACTTTAAGGGTAACAGAAAGAACCTGATTCTTCTTAACAGACCTGTCTACTGGTGTACCTTTTCTGTGATTATACTAATGTACACATTTAGCCTTTTCTTCCTGTTTGCACTGAATACATCCTCTCTTCCACAGTTCTTCCAAGCTGAGTAACGGCGAGACGGAGTCTGTGAAAACTATGATCGTTCACGATGAGGGCGAAAACAACTCAGGGACAACTCCGTGCAAAGACAGTACGCTGGTTGTCAGACAGGTACTGGTTAGAAGAAAGAACAAAACACAAACACACATCATTGCCTGAAAACGTACTGTTCTTCCATTGCTGTGAATTTTGTTTGTCCACATCCCAAGAGTTTATTCATTTTGTTTGTTCATCATGTTGGTCCTTCTTGTTCTTGCATACATTGCGAATGACTAGAAGTAAGTGTTTAAAGTAGATAGTAGGTAAATGTTGGGTAAAACTACACAGAGCAATTCCAGATTTATTTACCAGGCTTCAAAAAGGTTTCCAAAAGTAAGTAATTTAGGAAGGCTAATATTTGAAAAATTCTGAACTGTTTTCAATAAAATACCAGGTTTATCAGTCATCACTTGCTTTAGGCACCAATAACTGGATTTATTGTGACAGTAAAGGCAATAAAAGGACTGACAATATTATTTAAGTACAGGTATATAACTACTAACATGAGTTTTCTTTTCACCTGTAGAATAGCCACAGTAGTTTGCCCTTTGCTCTAGCTAATACATTTCCTTCCCCTGAACTCGTCAGGAGCACATGTAGACCCACAGTCGTCTACCCTTCTTTCTACTTCCAGAGTACAGGTGACAGCAGAAAGCATGCAGCCCCCGCTTCGGGCCAAACGCAGACCCTCGGCCTGATTACAGGCTTTGCCTCGAGCCCTGGCTTGGTGTCGGGGCAAGGCCTCACTCATCACACCCCCAGCCCCCACCACCATAACCATCATCGACATCATCACCCCAGCACACAGCACTCGGACCGGAACGGCTTTGCTGGTCGTATCCACCACCTCCCAGACCTGATCCAGCAAAGCCACCATTCCTCCCCTCCATCCTCCTCCTCTGCATCCAGCTCCCCTTCCTCTTCCAACTTTGCCAGCCCTACCACCATGTCCCCTCAGAGTCCCCTGGAAAAGCTTGGCATCCTCATAGAGGTATGTCAAAAGCAACAAGAGCAGAGTATACACTGATGTAGTTTAGAGCTTACATGTACTTTTGTGAGTAAACAACGACAAATACCAGTATTTAATACTGTTCACTAGCCACCTGGCAAGGTTGTCAAACCAGAATCTAATTCTTATGTCCCTGAGTGAGTAGAGTGCCCTCTACTGGTCACTGTTGGAACTCTACAATTCTCCAATATGACAATTGTTGGGTTTGTTTCCCTATTATCATAAAATATTCTGCAGGAAATGAAGGTGTAGGTTTTATTATTTTTTTGTTATTGTTGTTTTGCTGAATAGTTTTTGGCCCTAATAATTCCATTAACTTCATTGTTAAAACAGTCTGTATTTAAAAGAAATAAAAAGTCCAACACCCACCATTACGTTTGCAAATGCTCCTAAGAGGTAATCAGTGTAATCACTTCATTGATTTCCAGTAGATTTAATTCCTGTCTGTGTTTTCACAAACATTACCTCACAAAGTAAAGTCAGATCCTCTGGACGGATTCTTCTATTTAAAATGTTTTGTATTTTATCCAAAAGACTTCTTCAGTCTGGGGAGCTGCAATAAACTCAGTCTTATAAATAACACCTTCTCATAGGGGATCAACCAGTTTTTTTGTTGACATCCAAAACTACCAGTAGTTGTTCACATGAAAAAGGAAGACCATCAGTCGACTGATCATTAATGCCCCGGTGGTCGGTTGCTATTCACAGAGGGCTGAGTGATACTAGCAACAACAGCATGGTAAGAAGGACATGGAGGCCTCCACCCCTTTTTAGTTGGCAGCTCAGAACACCACATACAGAACACCATGGACTTTGTGGACAAGGTGAGGGATGTCATCATGGAGACTGATGAAACAATGGTCTCTTTTGATGTCACATCACTCTTTACGTGCATTCCTGTTGATGATGCAGTAGAGGTGGTCAGTTTAAGATTAAAATCAGACACCACTCTGAGCAGCAGGACCACGCTTTCCACAGAACAACTGTGTCAACTCTTGAAACTGTGCCTGCAGTCAACCTACTTCACATATGGGGAGCAATATTATAGGCAGAAACATGGGTGTGCTATGGGGTCTCCAGTTTCTCCTATTGTTGCCAACCTGTACATGGAGGAGGTAGAAAAGAGAGCCTTGACGTCCTTTTCAGGGACACCAACAAGTCATTGGTTCAGGTATGTTGACGACACCTGGGTTAAAATTAAATCTCAGGAAGTCCAACATTTTACTGACCACATCAACTCTGTGGATAAATACATCAAGTTCACACGAGAAGATGTAAAAAATGGCAAGTTGGCTTTCTTGGACTGTGAGGTCTCAGTCTCTGATAGAGGACATTTGCAAACTGAGGTGTCCTGCAAACCCACACACACAGACCAGTATTTGCAGTTTGACTCCCATCACCCTTTGGAGCACAAGTTAGGAGTCATCAGGCCAGCGGTCACTTGTTCAGGGATGAAGATGTTCACATCCTTGATAGAGAGGAACGTTGGTTTGAGAGAGGAGTAAAGGAGGCCATCTTTGTGTAAAGAAATCGTCCATCATTAAACAGGGGTGGAGGCCTCCGGGTTCAACTGTCCCCCTCTTACAATGCTGTTATTGCTAGTATCACTCACCCCCTGTGAATAGTAAACAGCCATCAGGGCACTAACAATCGGTCATTAGGCTGATGGACCTCCTTTATCATGTGAACAGCTACTTCTGGAGGTCAAGAGCAAACTGGTTTATCCACTATGAGAAGGTGCTATTTATAAGACTGAGTTTGTTGCAGCTCCTCAGACTGAAGAAGTCTTTTGGATAAAAGATGAAAAGTTTCAACAAGAAGAACCCGTCCAGAGGACCTGACTTTACTTTGTTAGATTTTTCTACCTGGATTATTGAGCATGAATCAGGATGTTACCTCAAGACACTTCCTGTGAACCCTGTTATACCTTGTATACCTTGGTGCTGCATAATTCCTACAAACAATTCATATTCTCACATTCCCCAGACAATAGGTCATAACACACAAGGCAGTTAGGAGTGCAATGGCAAGTATGCTTTCCATGGAAATACTTTTTTATAGATGCATTTTTTCCCATTCTTGTGTTTTTTAAGTTGGGCAGCAACATTCATGATTTATTACCCTTCCACATTGTTCTGTTTGTTTTGATCTGTTTATCCTGTGATTGAATGCTTGTTGTGTTTGCATGCAACATGTGGCGACATATATCAGTGTGCTTGCTTATTTAAGTGCAGTCACTTTCTTGTTATTGGTCTTTTGAAATTAATAGCAGTCATGGTTGTGATGCTCGGTCACCATTCTTTCTTCTTCTCTCTTCCTGTAGAGTCAGTCTAGTAACAACATGCAGAAACACAAATCTTCTTCCTCCTTCACACCGTTCATCGACCCACGCCTCCTGCAAGTCTCTCCATCCACTGGCAGCGCCCTCAATAATGTTGGTAGGTCTCACTGAGCTCATAAAGAGGGCCAACATAAACTTTTGTGTGACTAACATCTCAAAACAAAGGCTGTGGTGAATTCAAGTTTTCACACTTTAAAATTCTGGTTTTGTTAAACTGGTATTTGACAATGTAGATGTCTGTGGGATTTATCTAGACTTATTGTAAAGATTTTCCACCCAATTCTTAATATAATGATTAGTGAATTTGAGAAACGTTGGAATGTAGCAGCAGATATTCCAGTCTTGCACTTATTTGTTCATGTTTAAATTTCTTAAGTATAAATATCATCACAATCCCATTGATATTCTCAATAGATGCTGCATATTTATGATCAGAGTCAGTGTTGCTTTG